CTTTGTTGTATTCCCCACAATTCCTCAAACACCTGGATCACGTGCACAATACTGGTCTTAGCCATCAAGTTCATCGCGTCAAAACGACGTTGTCCTTCTGATCCAAGGGCTTGGCGGAATAACATAATCCAATGGGTATCGGATAACACGATAGGGGGGTTTAACACAGGACAGACAGTCATTTGATGTTGGAAAGATGTTTTCCACTGTATCCACGACTGTAGAGAGGGTTTCTCTGCACCATCTGGCCACAGACATGACAGTCCCGCAAGCGGGCTCGTAGCAACCGTCGCCATTCTGATACGTATTACTCGAGCATTGCTGGATCGCACCTGGACCCTTAGTCCACGCAAGAAGTGAATAAGAACACACACCAGATGGGACGTGTCAATACTGTAATAAATATCTTGTAGGTTACACCAGATGAATAAGTCGAAAAGGAACCAATCAGCACAAGGAAAACGAGTGGACGAATCAGCTATCGGTCAATCGATCCTTATTGAGGACTGTAGTCATTGGGTGTACCCATTGGGAACAATTGAACGTTTCACTGAGATCATCAGCATTCATTTGCTATAAGACAGGCGGAACCGTCTCTGTTCAGGCCCAAGGGATGGGACGTGGCTGAGCAACATCTACCGGCTCAGCATCCTGCTTCAGAAGTAAAAGGCAAACGGAGGAGAGAGCTCAACTTATTGTTTTTCAAACAGCTTCGGGTACTGCTTTTGTAGGGCGAAGTGGTTGATCTCCGTGATATGCATACGAGATAAGGGTGGCGTAACTCCCAGTGCAACCATAGGATTTCGTCCGGGTGAAGTAAACAGCAACCGATGCTGTAATGCCCCCGACTTGCAGAAAACCCACAATAAACCTTCGTATTTCTACAGGGGACTTTGCATGACTGTCAAACCGGTAAGCTAAGGGATTCAAGGGGTCCATCATGTAGCTAACTGTCATACAAGCTGCTTGGAACAATCAAAATAAGAGAATCGGAGTCAGGTTCCATGTCAACATTTGTTGTTCTCTCATTTACACAACTGCTACAGTACAAAGGTCGGGCACTGGGAGTTTAGCTTCGGCACAAGGAGGACGATAGTATGAAATGGTACTGTTATTACCGACGAAAATACGTTTTCAATACACTATACTGGCAAGTCCACGTAGGGATCCATAGAAATTAATTGAGAAATGTCTGCTGAACGACAACAACGAGAATAATGCATCAACTTATCACACTTGTTGCAATCCAATTCTAGGGCAGGGCCTTTGACAAAATTGTTATTATGCTGTAGGCTGCTGCAGCAAAAGCACTTCTGTGGGTTTTGTAGTTTGGTTGGCGAACAGTGGATCTTGGCAATCTCCTGTATGCCTGTTGGTACTGCAAAAGATCGCGCTTGTACTTCAGCATCCCAATGCTTTGTCCGAAGCCAATTTCAAGGTGGCTTCGAAGGGCAGAAATGTCAGAATCCCACCATTTGTTATTCCACAAATCAGCTGTTACACCAGCATGAGTCCCTCAATTTTGTTTTCGGTATGGAGGAATACTTACAGGGACGTAAGCCGCGAAGGAGGCGATTAACGAAAGTATCCAGAGATTTCCATGGTTCTTGGGCCAAATTTAATCGAGTTGTGACAACCTTTGTACACTTGCTTATCCAATACCGTCAGTGTTTTCACCAAGGTAGTTTGACTGAGTTCCAAGGCATCAAATTGATGCTACCGCCCATCACCGAGCAGGTGCATGAGAAGTTTTAATTTCTGTCATTCTGTATAGGTATAAGCCGCAGGTACTAAGTCCAAAAAGTTTGTTAAAGTTATCTTCCACTGGGACTAGGTATTTTCAGTGGGACGCGCCGTCGGAGCACACCAGGAAGCTTTAAGAGGATGTAACTGTCATTCCATAGCGCCAGTGTTGTGTACACAAGTAGAAAGCACCGTGTTTGTAGTAACGACACTTTGACCACATGCTTACCTAATGCCGATCCTCGGGTACGCATGTGTATGCCTGTGGTGCGTGCACGTAGCACGGCGGGTCTGAACTTGTGAGCGAAGTACACAAAAGGAACTATGGCGAAGCGGCTTCGGTCTAGCACGACCATAGCTTCCGACAGCAATTATGACTATTCAATACCGCTACCTGCCTAATAGTTGCAGGCTTTGGAAAGCGAAGAGAAATCCATGTATAGTGCACAGTGCCAAGTCAAGTGTTCTGTGAAAATCAAACGAAACTACAACATAGCCATCTTCCCATTCGCTTTCGCAGAACTGTGAGATGCAGCTGGATGAAATAAACTCACTACTCGGAGTTTTAAAGGAGCGCTTCCAAACTGCGGGAATACACTTGGAGAAGGCCGCACAAGCTGCAGAATCCAGCAGACAGCGTCACGAAAGGTCCGTCAGAGTATTGAAACAAGTGTTGGAGAAATTAGACCGGTTTTATCGGGCAAATCGCCCAGATATCAAGGTGAGTCTGTGTTCTATTCAGTGAACGGCATACAGATGCTTTGTCTCAAGTATAGCTAAGGTGAGCACAGTTACCAGCAACCCGTGTCAGCATCCTCACCATGATTGTATGACGCACCAGATCACCGTTGTCTGGCTGAAAACGGCCCGACCGTGCTGCAATCCACTGTCAAACTAAAATTGGAATTATACAGTTTATTTCAAAGATTGTGGATCTAATCAGTATAATTCAAACACATTAGCCTTAAAGCCAGGTTGCTTGTAAACAACGCATAATGCGGCCACGAACAATCAGCTAACGGGCATCAGTGGTGTTGTGCTTCAAGCGGCTAACTTGTCACTTCTGCGCCCCGGATTAACTGCACGCCACTGTGTCGTTTTGGGCACCCGAATAGCATTCTAGCATTAATACAAGCCAAGAAAGTGCATTATGTACCCAGATCGGGCGAATATTCAGCCGCAACACGCACGCTTTCAGCGATACAGAATAATGTAACTGAAATTCAAAAGGTGCATCAATACTTGGAGCAGAACAGTATCATCATAACTGCCAGTTCCTCGGAAAGTAGCAACTCAACACTGAACTGAAAATAATAATAATAATGATAATAATAGTTATCAGGGAACCGAGGGCGCGGAGAACGTAACATAAATCCAGTAGAAAGTAAGTCCTCTTCAATCTCATACCATACAGAATTAGCTCGCGTGCACTTCACCGAGTTGGTCTGACTGACTGAACTAGTAGCGATTGGATTCGCCCCCTTCCTGTCGTTCACTTCAAGCTCCATACTTTGCTCTGACAAAGTTCATCATGAGCGCATGTGACTCCTCACAATATTATTTATTCACTAGTCTGAAAACGGGCAAATGGGCCATTAGACCCATTGTGGCGAGGAAGACGGTAACACACGGAGGATCGGTTTTACGTTGAAGCTTCGCATATGTTTTGTCTTGTTCTATTAGCATTTGTTTTATTTATTAAAATTTAAGAGGACAAAACATTACAGTCACTTGTTTATAGTACGATGTGTAAATTCCACGATTTCTGACCATCGGTAATTAACATCAAGTTGTCATCAACATGGGGAACAGACAGATTCAACGGATGCTAGACATCAAATAACATTCTTCATGTTCATTATCCGCATCATCAGATTATACCGTGACACTCTCCATCTGTATTCAGAATGCGCAAATAATGCTCGGCGAGAAAGGGGATAGGTCATCATGGGCAGTACGTTACCGAGCCAATGCAAAGGAAATAATGCTCTACAGTCAGGAATTGTTCGTTCCGACTACTCGGTTTTTGACTTACGCATTGTTTTAATGGTTCCCTTACCACATAAGGGCAATCGTTCGCAAACAGCGGCTGTCAAAACTGACAGTCGTTTCTAGTCTTCCGAGCCAACAGACCAGATCTCGTAACTGTACTGCAGAAATGCATGAAGGATGACATTGCACACTCTGACCTTGAGCTTTAGACCGACATCGCAATGGCGTCACAAGTTCTCGGGTTACTGAATACAAGGCGAGTTTTGGCAGTTCCTTGTGGAATTTCATTCCCAACACCCCAACCACGATCTAACTCTCGAGAAAGTAATAACATCTGCTTCCTACAGTCTGTCTCTTGCAATGGTGAACGCAGGCACGACCACCTCCCAATCCTGAAGCAAAGCTTTCCGCTTGGTTAGGGTAACATACAGACCATGTTTAAAGGTATATGTTACCAATCGGTACAAGGTAATTTGAACAGCTTGTGCGTCGTCTCTCAACAAAGCAATATCATCAGCATAGTCCAAGCCTACGACTCTCCCCAGGGGGAACCCCACGCCTCAGTTCTGGACGCCTTCAGGTGCTTTGTAGAGGACATCTTTGATGACACTTAGAACTGGAAAGGTGAGATACAGTAATATCGGTGTATTCCGCAAGTAAAAGCAAACAGCGAAGTTGGTGTAACCTAAGCTTTCATTTGCCGAAGCTGTACCAAAAGATCACTTCTTAGCAGACGATTACATAATCGACCAGCTGACCTACTGGGGAAGTGAAGGTGTTCCAGAATGCGACGTAGTTTGAGTACGTGATTGGTGCAACTTCGGCCCTCACAGAGATTAGCCCATTCATTAAGAGAAATTTTCTGTAGTGGATAACGGCCTACAAATGATGGAGACATAAACCTTAGACACGATAGAGACATATGGGATTCCGCGGTATTTACTGTAATCGTTTCAGGAGCATTTCTTGTAACAGGACAACAACAGATTCGCCCAATGAATTGAGTACCTCTTCCTCAACTCCTATCTTAATGAACAGTGTGATTTTGTTGGTAACTAAAAGCCCCTCTTTTTGAGTATGGCCAGAGGAAGACAGTCAGGACCAGCAGCTTTGTGGTGTCTTGAAGTTGGTATTTATCTTCGGTTGTTTACTTAAGTAAAAGGATACGTGCAGACAAACCAAGCAACATAACA